GGCCATCCTTCCTCACCACAGATTCAGTTTCAGTATCTCCATAAAAGTGACATTTTTTCCCACCTCCTGCTGACCTCCAGCCTCTGTGGCTGGGTGTAAGGGCAGGGCTCAAGGGGCAGTGACAGCTCTGTCCCAGGCAGCTGGGGAGGGGACCACTGGCTGCACACGGGGTGATACCACAGGGCAGGGATGGAAAGGGAGCCCCTGGGCTGCTCCCACCTTCCCAAGAGCCTGGGACGTGGTAAGAGAATCCGTTCTCCTACAAGCCCTGTTAACATCCAAACACACCAAATTTAGAACCTTTTCATCTGCTGCCCGACATCAGAGGGGGCTGCTGGAGGGCAGGAGGGCATTTCTCAGCTGTATATTATGACAGCCCCTGCCTCCCTCACCCCCTTGCAGGGGCAGGACAGTGATTAATGGGTGACTTGGGCTGGAGCAGCTCTGAAGGTGACCTTCAGGACTGGCCAGTGCTGCCCTGTAAATCCCTGCTCTCCCTGGAGTGCAGCACACAGGAGCAGGGAATGGGAAGCAGGGCAGGAGATTGTCTGCTCTGACTTCAAGCCAGCAGTTCCCGCGTGGTGATGATTCCCCAGCTGTTTGGGGGTCCCTGCATGGGATCCCTTGCTCAGGGACACGGAGAGAAGTTTGGCTTGATCACAACCCTCCAGGACAGGCATCAGTGCCACTGCTGAGCTTTCCATTTACCTCCGCCCTTCTCCTTGCCCTGGGAACTGGGAACTTGGACTCCTGCCCACAAGAAAAAGCCACCAAAGCCCTTCATATAAGAGGTTTTCTCCTCACAGACCCAGAGGGCACTGCCACGTCCCTGGGAGCATCCTCCAGCCCCATGGCCTTGCAGGGAAGGTGGTGGGTATGGCTCCAGGCTGAAGGACCAGCTCTTCCCACAGCCAGGAGCTGGGATGCAGAGGGCACCCTGGCAGGACTGTCTCACCTTTGCAACCCAGCACAAAACGAAGCTGCCCCTCCAAAGCACTCAGGGATTGGTGTCTGACTGCCTTAGGCTGCAGAGGGAAGGAAAACTGAATTATTTGGAAAGCCAGCATTGCCCACCCATGCTCTGTGCTGGTGGGCAGGGGGGCACAGCCAGGACAGGGCTGGAAAAAATCACGGGGCAAGCACAGGGGTCCTGGAGGGAGCAGGATGAGGGGAGCCATGGCCAGCTAGTGCCTCAGTGGTCCCTGCAGCCTCCCAGCTTGGAGGAGACTGTTGTTCTGTCCCCCTCTGTCCTGTGCGGACCTGAGACTGCCCCGCACTGAGCTCCCAGAGGGGCTCGCTGGGACCCCCCCAACCCTCCCCCAGCGCCACCATCGGGGACCGGGGCAGGGACGGAAGGAAGCGGCTGTTTCCAGCCCGGGGAGCGGCCGAGCAGGCTTTTTCCATCAGGTGCTCTGTCTCCAGCAGCAGGAGGCAAAAAGAAAACAAAAGGCACGAGAGGAGCGGGACGGGAGGAACCTGCGCGTCTGGATCGTGTAAAGCAGCGACATGCTGTAAACGCCGGCCGGGTGATGGATGTGCCGGAGGGGCCGCGCAGGATGTGCCGGACGCGCATCTTCCAGCAGCCGCTGGCACGGTGCCTCCGGTCCCCCCGGAGCCTCCCGTCCGGGGTGCTGCTGTCCCCGGGGAGAGCCCGGCTCAGCTCTGCCTCCCGACTCCCAAATCTGGCTGCTACGGGATCCAAAGAGCGTGATTTACAGCCGGCCCCGAGCATCGCCCAGCTCCCCGCCCGGGGAGGCAGAAGGGCGGCCGGGAGAGCTGGATTAGGGCTGTATAAATAATATTGTGCAGGGATGCAGAGCCCTCGGGCTGCCAGCGTGGGTACCCCTCCTGCCCGCAGCACCCTGGCACCACGGTGGGGCAATGCCCCTTCTCTCCCTCGGGAAAACCTGTCCTACCACGATAAGGGGTTTTGGGACAATGGGGGCACAGAAGAGGATGGGTCCTTGTCCTACAGCAGCTGCTGGGGGGAGAGCACCCATCCCACTCGATGCCAGCAACAAATTCCTGGCTGCCCTGTCCAGCCGTGCCGTGTCTCTGTGTTTATGCAATGGCAGGAGCCGGCAGAATTAAGCACTTTTTGTTTTTCCCTTTTTTGAGAACGGAGAGTTTTAATTCCCACCAAACAATGTTCTTTTTCCAGCAAGCTTAAAATAAGCTTTTTTGGCTCGGGCGTCTCTGGAGCCGTTGTGCAAATAAGGATGTGAGCTCCGTGCTCTGGCTGGGCCAGCACCACCTGCCAGGGGGGTTTTGGGGGGCCATGGGAGGCCCCCAGGCCTGACCCTCCTCCCACGGCGGCACAGGGCTGGATCTGGCCAGGACAGCTCGCTGCAGCTTTCCTTTGATGAGTGGAAAATGTTGCTCACACAGAGATAGGGATGAAGCCGTGCTGGAGCCTCCTGCCAGACCTGCCTGTCTGGCCCTGGGGTGGGTGTGTGTTCAGGTGTGCTGGGGCCTCACAAACCCCACCAGGAGCTGGGTTCTGGAGCAGCCTGGTGCCTGGAGAAGTGACCATGCCCTGCAGAGTGGCACCAACAGCGCCCATTGCCCACGGCAGCTGGAGGGAACTGCAGACCCCACACCAGCAGCTCCCACCCCTACAGGAACATTCCTGCTTGTGGGAAACTGCACAAAGCTATTTTCTGCCAGCGTGAAACTGTGGCCTGACTTGCCCCCATTCCCTTACCTGCAGTCCCCAGGGTGTGCTGTGGCACAGGATCCCTGCCCAGCACATCCCTGCTGCCAAGCACGGCACGACACGGCTGCCCTGCATCTCTTGGGCTGGGGTGGGTTCCATGAGGGTTTTCTGGCAAATAAGCACCTGGGTTTACTCAGGCCAGGTGGAGTTTATCTTCACAGCCTCTCCTGCCCCATTTGGATCCTTGTTCCCCATCTTCAGGCCCTGCCCTCCACCCAAATTTGCCATGGCAGTGTGGCAAAGCGGTGACAGCAGCAGAGATGAGCACGTACAGAACTTGAGAGTACCTCTCCTCTCCTGGTAACCCCTGCCCAGGAGAGCCCTGGGGGGGTTTCCAGCACTCCAACCCCAGCACATCCTGCTCCCTTCAGGCATGGCCCTGCAGCCAGGATGGGCACAGGAGCCTTCCAGCCCTCCCATCCCAGCCTGGAGGCAGAGCTGGCCGTGACCCAGCCTCCCCATCCCAGCCCCTTCCCTCGGGCAAGACCGGTGGGGAAAAAACCTCCCTCCCCTGCCTCCCCCAGCTTATCAAATTTGGCCATGTCTGGAAAGGCCTGGTTTCCTTTTCACCAAAAAAGATCAAAACTGGGTAATTGGCTGCCGGCACAGATGCCTCTGCGCCTCTCTCATGTGTAAACAGCATTGCCGAGCGCTGACACAACGCAGGCGGCCGCGGCACACGCAGGCGCCCCAGGGCTGCCACCGGCCCTTCTGGGGGTGCCACAACAGGGGGAGAAGTCACTGAGTGCAGGCAGAGTTGGCTCTGCACCCCAAAAAATGCTGGTGGCCAAAGGGCGGGTGTTGCCACCCACCTGAAGCACTGGCAGGTGTTTGCAGGGCTCCTCTGGCAGGTCCTGAGGTGACAAACGGGACACTCTGTGCTCACATCTCAGCCAAGGGGACAGCAAAGCCTCTGAAACGCTGTGCTGGGGGTGTTAATGTGGGTGGATGCACAGCCCCTGCATCCCAGGGCTGGCAGGAGGAGGAGGGGGACAGCGTGACTTGGGGGTGCAGAGACCTTTACCCTATTTATGGGGTTTTCTAGAGGCACAGTTCATGGACTGGGAAAAGGAGGCGGAAATTTCCCTCTGCCCTACAAAGCTCAAGGGCTTTCAAATCCCTGGGGACTCACAGTGAGGCGGGAGGAGGAGGGAAACAACGTCCAGCGCTACCACCAAAGGAGCAGGACAGAGTCTGCTGCCCGGGAGCGTGGGGAACAGCGCCGGGATCGGCCTAGGCTGGGCTGGAGGGGAGGAGAGAGGGATGGAGGGAGGGATGGAGGGAGGGATGGAGGGGCGGAGGGATGGAGGGAGGGATGGAGGGGCGGAGGG